TGCATTGCGTTGTGTTTAGTTACAGTCCAGCCGTCTGTATTCCCACATATAGTTCAGAGTTTATCAAAAATTAGATATTGCCCAATAGAAGTGAAGAACTGGTCAAGGTTGTCCACTGGTGGTGGTGGTGGGGGGGACTATTCCTCTGATTTAGGAGCCCAAGGTTATGTTAACATAACCACAGGTCAGGGTTACCAGCTAAATTATATTGATTGCGGTCTGTGTTCATCCAGTGTCTAAATTTCTGTGTGTTTTTGAAGAAGGTCCTAATAGGTACAAGGCTGGCCATAGGTGTGAGAGAGTGGTCAAACATATACTCATGGTCTGATTGCCCTCAGAGTAGTAATTGTTTTGCACTCTCCATTAACCACTAGCCTACAGGGCACTTATACCCCTTTCCTGCCCAGGCCAATTTCCAGCTTTCAGCGCTGTCACACTTTGTATGACAATTGCGCGGTCATTCAACACTGTTCCCATATGAAATTTGTATCATTTTTTTGTGACAGAGCTTATTTTGGTGGTATTTAATCACCTCTGGGTTTTCAATTTTTTCTTAAACTAAAAACCAATGAAAACTTTGAAAAAAAAAAACCAAAACGTTTTTTCTTAGTTTTTGTTATAAAATTTTGTAAATAAGTGATTTTTCTCCTTCACTGATGTGCGCTAATGAGCCTGCAGTGATGGACACTGATAGGCTGCACTGATGGACACTGATGAGGAGGCACTGGTAGGTGGCACTGATGGGCATTGACAGGCATCACTGATGGGCACTGAAAGGCAGCACTCCTCTATGGCACTGATAGGTGGCACTGATTGGCATTGATAGGTGACACTGAAAGGCAGCTCAGACGGGCACTGATGTGTCATTGATGTGCACTGGTAGGTAATGATATGTGGCATTGATGTGGCACTGATGGGCACTTGCAGGTGGCATGGATGAGCACTGACAGCTGGCACTGATGGACAATGACAGGTGGCACTGCTGGGGCTACACAGATCGTCAGGGCACACTGGTCAAACAGTGCCCCGATGATCAGTGTAGATGTCCCCTCCAAGGAATGCCCATTACCGGCTCTCCACTCCTCACGAGCTGTCAGCGTGACAGCTCATGAGGAGAGAAATGCCGATAACCGGCATTTCCTTGTTTACATGAGATCAGCTGTGATTGGACACGGCTGATTACATAACCGAGCCGACATCTTCGGTTCTTTCCGTTGATCGGTGATCTGCTGTGTCCAAGGGACACAGCGCACCGCTGATAGCCGCGCTGCTCGCTCCCGGAGCCGTGCATGCGCGGTTAGAATTGGAGGACGTCATATGATGTCCTCCCAGAACGAGAGAACCACCTTGCGCCCGTCATTGTACTATATGGCGGGTGGGAGGCGGTTAACCACTTCCCGACCGGCCGTTGTATATAAACGGCCGGACGGTGGCAGTGCAGGGTCGGGTGGCCATTTATAAACGGCCGCCCGCATCCGAGGCTCGTGCGTGGCTCCTAGAGCGCGCACCCGCAAGCCCGGTGATCGCCGTGTCCCTCGGATACCGGCGATCACCTGACGTGGTACAGGACCGTCCTGTACCATGTGACCGACTGTGTCCAATAAGGACACAGTCTTAATGTAAATAGAAGCCGCATGGTGCGGCTTCCACCCCCTTGACCGCGCACGCGCGTGCCCAGAGATCGCCGGGTCCCTCAGATACAGGGGATCAGGTAACATGGTACAGGACCAATGAAATCGTCCTGTACCATGTGACCAACTGTGTCCAATAAGGACACAGTCTAAATGTAAACAGAAGCCGCATGGTGCGGCTTCCGGCTCCTTCTCCTCACACGGAGTTCTGTCTGTGAGAGAAGGAGCCGGATAGCCTGAGCAAGAGCAAGCCTGATCGCAAGTGTCCCTAATTGTCCCTGATCACGTGTCCCTGACTGTCTGTCCCTGATCACAGTGTCCCTGATCACAGTGTCCCTGATCAGTGTCCCTGACTGTCTGTCCCTGACCACAAGTGTCCCTGACTGTCTGTCCCTGACCACAAGTGTCCCTGACTGTCTGTCCCTGACCACAAGTGTCCCTGACTGTCTGTCCCTGACCACAAGTGTCCCTGACTGTCTGTCCCTGACCACAAGTGTCCCTGACTGTCTGTCCCTGACCACAAGTGTCCCTGACTGTCTGTCCCTGACCACAAGTGTCCCTGACTGTCTGTCCCTGATCGCCAGCGTCCCTGATCGCCAGCGTCCCTGATCGCCAGCGTCCCTGATCGCCACACAGCGGCCCAGCTGTGTCCCTGATCACTGCATAGCGTCCCAGTGTCCCTGATCTCCACACCAGCAGGTCTTGATCACCTCCACACTACCAGGTCCTGATCATCATACCACCAAGTCTTGATCACCGCCACACCTGCAGGTCCCAATTACAGCTATACCAGCGGGTCCTGATCGCCGCCACACTAGCAGATCCTGATCACAGCCATGCCAGCAGGTCCTGATCACCACCCCAGCAGATCCTGATCACCACCAAACTAGTGGGTCCTGATCCCCGCCATACCAGCGGGTTCGGATCGCCGCCACATCATTGGATCCTGATCGCTGCCAAACCCACGGGTCCGGGGTCCTGATCACCACCATACCAGTCCTGATCACCTGAGAGCCATTACAGCAAACTGTGAGTACTTTTTAGTCTTTGCACACAGTTTACACACACACTCACAAAACATTGCCTGCCAGCTCACGGTATCTCTGATCACACATGTGGTATCGCATATTCAGGAAGAGTTATAGAATGTGTTTTGGGGTGTAATTTTAAGTATGCCTATGTTGTATAATAGAAATATCTCATAGATTGACAACTTTGCGTAGAAAAAAAAAACATTTTCATTTTCTTTTCACATTTTCCAAAAACTTTTGGCAAAAAATGCAGTCTTCAGAAGACTCCACATGACTCTTAAAATATACCTTGGAGTGTTTGCTTTCCAAAATGGGGTCATTTTGTGGGTAATTCCATTGTCCTGATGCTCCAGGACCTCCAAAATGGCATTAGGTAGTCAAGAAATTAGATGTGTCATTTTTTCCCCTAGAACTGCAAAAGGTGCTTATTGGATATGGAGCCCCCCTATGTGGCCAGACTGTAAAAAAGTCTCACACATTTGGTATCGCCATATTCAGGAAGAGTTATAGAATGTGTTTTGGGGTGTAATTTTAAGTATGCCTATGTTGTGTAATAGATATATCTCATAGACTGGCAACTTTGCATTGAAAAAAATACATTTTCATCTTCTTTTCACATTTTCCAAAAACATTTGGCAAAAAATGAAGTCTTCAGAAGACTCCACATGACTCTTAAAACATACCTTGGGGTGTTTTCTTTCCAAAATGGGGTCATTTTGTGGGTAATTCCTTTGTCCTGGTGCTCCAGGACCTCCAAAACTGTGATAGACAGTCAAGAAATTAGATGTGTAATTTTTGCCCCTAGAACGCCTAAGGGTGCTTATTGGATGTGGGGCCCTTCTATGTGGCTAGGCTGTGAAAAAGTTTCACACATTTGGTATCACCATACTCAGGAAGAGTAGCAGAATGTGTTTTGGGGTGTAACTGCAAGTATGCCTATGCCGTGTGAGAGAAAGAACTTGTTAAAATGACAACTTTGTGAAAAATTAAAATTATTTACTTTCATCATTTCCCCTTAAAAAATTTGCAAAAAATTACAACTTCAAAAAACTCTCCTTGCCTTTCATTAAATACCTCAGACTGTCTACTTTCCAAAAAGGGGTCATTTGGGGGGTATTTGTATTGTCCTGGCATTTTAGGGCCCTGAGAAACTATATAGGTAGCCAGTACATCAGGATTGATAAATTTTCAAATATATCAAATATATATACCGTGGTCTGTGGACTCTATAACTTTAATACAGACTAAATAATACAAACTGATTTGAGTTATTTCTACCAAACAAAGGTAGCACAATGGATTTTGGCCTAAATTAATGAAGAAAGTATATTTATTTGCAAAATCTAGTAACAAAAACGAAGAAAAACATGTTTATTTTCAAAATTTTCAGTCTTTTTCCACTTTTCTAGAAAAAAATAAAACCCCCAGTGGTGATTAAATACCACTAAATGAAAGCTCTATTTGTGTGAAAAAAATGATAAAAATTTCATTTGGATACAGTGTCGTATGCCTGAGTAACTGTGTGAGAGCACTGAAAGCTGAAAATTAGCCTGGTCAGGAAGGGGGTAAAAGTGTCCGGTCTGGAAGTGGTTAAAGAGCAATTCTACAACTTGGGCTGCTTTAGCGTTTCCAAATATTTAAAGCCAAATTGAACCTTCAATTATAATTTGCTAATACATTCCATGTGCATCAAAACAAAAAGGAGCCAAGTCAGAGGCTCCAAAGTAGGTCAATTGCTCTCTTTGAAGAAGTGATGCTTTCATTGCAGAGGTTTGACACATTCACGCTGCCATCAGCAAAGCTTCTCCTCCCTGCTAATTTGAGAGTTCAGGTTCTGACTCAGCAAGAGGTGTTTTGGATATCTGCAAAGAGATCTCTTTTCCACACAGGGTCAGGTGTCGTCCTCTACAGCATCGCTGGGAGCCGATCATGTAAACGGAGTGGCACACTCTCAGAATAGGTAAGTATTGACGTTTTTCCTATAACAGAGAAGATATAATAGGCTTAGAATGGGGATCGGAGTAGATTTAGGCTTGGCTTTTCATTTGTCTTCCACTCTAAGTAATTTTCCATGGGAGAGAAAGAAGGTTGTCAGTGTTGCCCAACTTCTGAAAATACTAGTTGCCTGGCTGCAATGCTAACCTACTAGATGTTCTGAGCTACTGACCTATGACAAATCATTTTTGCAGCTCAGGAAAGTTAGAGAAAAGCCAGATGTCAACATATTAGCTCCACACAGTAACTTCTTCAGTTGGGTCCCATACATGAAGAGTTTGCACTCTGCTGGGACAAGCAGACTTCCAACTCCCTGTAGGATTGATTAGGGATTGCAGCACTTATGCGCATGAGGAAAAGGACCCGACCTGAAAATGTTGAAGTAGGCTACACAGCACAGACTGGTAATCGTGCGACTTGTCAAAAAGGAATGTGGGAGAGCATCAGAAGTCGTAGTAAGTCCTGTGTATACTCTCTACGTTTGTCCCAGTAGGCATGCATGTCAGTGTAGTTCCTGTTCCTGCTTTTGGCTTTTTTTCCTGTTTTTTTTGTGCTTTTATTTGCTGTCAAGTAAAAATCAGTTGCTTTTTGATAAAAAAATAATCTTCTGAGGTATTTAGTGTTTCCACAGAGCTTCATCTCTGATATTAATACATTGATCTGGGGTGAATGAGGAGCCTGTGGCGATGTGTGCGTGTCATAATATTGCAGAACATGTACACAGTGCAAAGCCTTAGGAAAGCATTAGAAGCAGCAGTCAGCCATGAGTCATTAATTAAAGGATCATGTGCAGTATTAACAAGCAGATTGATGGACAGGCGATATTGCCTTTGAGTGCACGTAAGCTGCTCTGCGCAGTATTACTTCATGTGTTGCTGTAATTGTGTTCCCAAAAATATTGCTTGCCTGTCTGCCTAAACCATATTTAGCAGCAACGCACAAAATGTTCCGGGAACAAGGTGCACCACCTTATACATAGTGTCTTCCTCATCAAGATGAAACGATGAGGATTGGGAAGTGACGAGCTATTGCCAAATAGTTAATACCAATAATAGAAGATGAGTATCTGTGTCAGGGATAATTCAATTTTCTGGGATGCACTGTCCCCTATGCTACTGCTTCAGGGTATGTTCTGCTGAGGGAGAGAGTCTGATGAGGTTTGTGTGTGTTTGTATGCGTACTGTATGTAATATTTATTCACTGCACATTTGACACCCTGACACTACAGTTGTTTAATGATTTTTTTTTTTTTTCTCATTAATTTACACTTAGTACCTGAAATGACAAAATGAAAACAGAATTTTAGAAATGCTTGCAAATGTATGAAAAAAGAACAGAAATACATTTGGCAGGTATCCAAGCTCTTTCCAACAACACTTTTGAAATTGAACTCAGGTGCCTTCAATGTCTCTTGATCGTTGCAGAGATGTTTCTATACCTTGATTGGATACCAAAATTGAAAAAAGTGAAGGGGATCTGAATACTTTAGGAATGTACTGCATGTACACCAGGGGTGGGCAAACTTTTTGACTTGAGGGCCGCAATGGGTTCATATATTGGACCCGGGGGCCGGACCAAGAGTAGATGAATGATGTGTATGTGTCATCCATAGTAAGTATAGTAATATTCCCCCATAGTAAGCATAGTAATTAATCCCCCATATAGTAATTCATCCCCCATAGTAATTCATCCCCCATATAGTAATTCATCCCCCATATAGTAATTCATCCCCCCTATAGTAATTCATTCCCCATATTAATTCATCCCCCATATTAAGTCCCCAAGTCCCCCCTGTGTCAATTCACTTACCTTTGCTCCGCGCGTTCCTCTCGCCGTGTTCCCGCGCCGTTCCGGTGTAGCATGAAAATCTGTCTCCTATGAGGATCTGTCCCCCCTCGACGTATCTGCGCATGTGCCAGTTTCAGGCATTAGCAGCCGATCGGCGATCTCTCCGGCACATGCGCAGATACGTTGAGGGGGACAGATCCTCATAGGAGACAGATTTTCATGCTACACCGGTCTTCAGGGCGGACTGTGAGAGGAGCCTAGCTCCGCGGGCAGGATTAAAAGGTCTGCCGGGCCGTAGTTTGCCCATTGCTGATGTACACCCTACCATCTTGAATGAAAAAAGATACTCCTAATACCCTTGGAAGTCAGAGATTATTATCCTTCTTGTTCAGGATTTATATACAGTATCACAAACAGTTTGCAGAACCCCTTACAATATAAAGGACAGTACAGTTTAATACTGAAGGATTAGGAGGGCCCTGCTCGTGGAGCTTACAGTCTTAAAGAGGAATCATGTAATTGTTAGTTATTAGTAAACTCTCTCTCGCTTTTGGGCCAGTCTAATGGGATGCTATTGAGCCTGTATGGTGGTCAGAGGCACTTTCTGGGAAATCTTCTTGAGCAGGACTTATTTCTTCTCTCTTCTATGAACAGGTGTGAATGACCAAATTTAGTGTGGGAATGTGTGCACAATGTACAATGGAACCAGTGGTCATGATTGCATCAGATTTTGGCATTCATTGCGTGTATCAATGGGTCTATTCTGTTTTAGGCCCACTAAACAGCATGCCTACATATGTTTGGGGACCGTGCACACTTTATAGCCACAACCTGCCTGTTACCTAGTGGTTGATTGCATCAGGGAAATGCACCATATTACAAAAGCATGCAAATCAGACTTCTTCCATGTTCTTGTTTATCATTTTATGGCAGCCTGCACATTCCAAACTCTTGATCCAATAGAGCAAATGCAGCAAGTTTGCAGCATGAATCTGTAGTTGACAAATCTAGAACTTAAAGTTGAACTCCAGATAAAAGATAAAATAAAAAGTAGCCTTTGCTACTTACCTTCAGACTGATTCACACTAGAGTGATTTCAGATGCGACTCACACAGAATTGTATGACAAGGGAAATCACATACCATATTTTCCGGCGTATAAGACGACTTTTTAACCCATGAAAATCTTCTAAAAAGTCGGGGGTCGTCTTATACACCGGTATACGGCGAGCCGGTGTCAGGGTGGCACTTTTTCGGGGGGCGGCGCGTTGCCGCTCCCCCCTTCCAACGGAAGGGACACTAAGTACAGGGGCGGGCAGGGGGCTGCTGTTTCTTACCTGGCTCCGGTCCCACGACGATCCAGTCCAGGAAGCGCGGCTGCTCCTTCATTCAGCTTGGCCGTTCGAAGTTCGCGTGGCCGCTCGGCTCCGCCTCCTCACCGGTGATTGGGCGCCAGAACTGTAGCTCAGGAAAGGCACACAGGCGACCAATCACCGACGAGAAAGTGGAGCCGAGCGGCCCCGCGAAAATCGAGTGAGGGAGCGGCCGGTAAGTGTGCAGCAGCACCATGCTGGAACACTATTGGCACTATTCCTCCCCCCCCTTGACACCAACGATGGGGCACTATTCCTCCCCCACTGACACCAACGATGAGGCACTATTCCTCCTCCCCACTGACACCAACGATGGGGCACTATTCCTCCCCCCCCCCCCCCCTACTGACACCAACAATGGGGCACTATTCCACCCCCCACTGACACCAATGATGGAACACTATTCCTTCCCCCACTAACACCAATGATGGGGTACTATTCCCCCCATTGACACCAATGATGGGGCACTATTCTCACCACTGATACCAATGATGGGGCACTATTCTCGCCACTGATACCAATGATGGGGCACAATTCCTGCCACTGATGCCAATGATGGGGTGCTATTCCTCCCACTGACACCAATGATGGGACGCTATTCCTCCCACTGACACCAATGATGGGACGCTATTCCTCGCACTGACACCAATGATGGGACACTATTCCTCCAACTGACATCAATGATGGGACACTATTCCTCCAACTGACACCAATGATTGGACACTATTCCTCCAACTGACACCAATGATGGGACACTATTCCTCCAACTGACACCAATGATGGGACACTATTCCTCCAACTGACACCATGATGGGACACTATTCCTCCACTGACACCAATGATGGGGCACGATTCCTCCCACTGACACCAATGATGGGGCACGATTCCTCCCACTGACACCAATGATGGGGCACGATTCCTCCCACTGACACCAATGATGGGGCACGATTCCTCCCACTGACACTAATGATGGGACACTACGATTCCTCCATCTGACACTAATGATGGGGCACTATTCATTGGTGTCAGTGCAAGGAATAGTGTCCCATCATTTGTATCAGTGGGAGGAATAGTGCCCCAGTGCCCGTGCATCATTGGTGTCAGTGGGAGGAGTAGCACCCCATCATTGGAATACTATACTGAAATACCATACCATATTAAAATCAAATCTGATGTTTTTTAATTTTTATTTGGTGTGCGTTGGAAGAGGGGTAGTCTTAAACGGCGAGTATAGCCCAAACCCTATATTTTAACAGGAAAAGTAGGGGGTGGTCTTATACGCCGGAAAATACAGTAGTTTTCAATGGCGACTGTTCACATCAGAGAAAACAGCGGGAGCCATTGGCTCCTGCTGCTGTCAATCGCAGCCAGTGAGGAGGGGGCGGGCTCAGGAGCGAGCATGCACGAGATTGCCTCCATAGCAAGCAGCATACTAGGGCGGCAAGGTGGAAGAGCCCAGAGCATCGGCAGGGGACCTGAGAAGAGGAGGATTGGGGCAGCTTTATGCAAAACCCTTGCAGAGAGCGGGTAAGTATAACATGTTTATTATTTTAAAAAAATTAAGCCTTAATATAATTTTGAAGATTGCAGTGCTTCACTCATTCTGTGTTGTTTTTATATATATCTGCCTAGAGTTTAGCTTTATTAATACTATCAAAACAACATGGATCGTGTTTAGTATTGCATAGGCATACCTACTAAAGTTACCATGGAGTGTAAATGCAGAAAAAGAAAATGAAAGTCAAGTATTGCATGTTGACAGTCAGCTAAAGTGTTTTTTTTTTTTTTTGTGGATTCAGTCTACTGTATTTCTCCTGATAGAACTGCGTGTCTGAAGCACCTAGTGACAAAATTAAGCCGTAGCATATGTCCATACAGGGTCATCAGTCTGGTTGTGTATAGCAGCGGGGGGCTTATCAAACTCTTTTGTGAATAAAATAGTTCTATTCTTATATCTTTGTTACCTAATTGGAGGGTTTCTGCTTCAAACACAGCTTGTCACAGCTATTTATGACTTGTTCTAAACCCTTCTTGGCCTGCTGACCAAAACTACATTTTCACAGCTGTAGAAGGTCAAGTACAAGTGAATCAGACTTTGTGCACCAGACCGTGCTGTCCTAGGGCCAAAAGAACCCCTTTGGACAATGTCTGAGAATTCCTTTTCTTTTCTTCCATGGGGAACCTTTTGGTGCCGGTTTGCACAAGCTCTAACGTAGGCAATTTTCAAACTTTTTTTATTAATAAGTAATCTTTGCAGGAGTTTTATATTTGGGGTAACTGGCCCTAAAACTTATTTTAGGAAGAGATTCTTTTTTTTGTTTGCTCTTGGAGCGATTTTGTAAATTTCACTGATTTCCGTTAGTAACGGTTATTATGCATAGGATTGTATTTGCTTTAAGCTACCAGTTCCCAAAGGCAAGATGCTGATTTGGATCTCTTATTGCTTGATTCTATCTGTAGATAATATACCACAGCTAAAATCATTATTCATGTAAAAGCTTCTTTAATGTTCTGGACACTTGGATTAATCGCTGATAGGTTGTGGAACTGTTTTATTGTTTCCTTTGCCATTCCAACACCATTCCTGATATCCCTTCAATACAAATTGTAATGTTCTAATTCTAGATGAAGAAGACTTTGAAACCTTGAAAAAGAAACCAAAAGAAAATGGGAGATCTGCATTTCCTCTTCCTGCTAAGCCTCAAGTCACAACCACCAAAAGCCATGCTCCTGCCAAAGCCAAAACTCCAGAAAAGCGGATGTGTACATCAGTGGAGGATTTCTTTGGTATGGGCACATTAAACGATCCAACAAGAAACTTGTAGAAGAGAAGAAGGAAGAGGTACTTTGCTTTCCTTGACTAATGGTTATGTATAAGCATGATAAAATGTTAGATTCCTATGGGTATAAATAGTGGTCTGAGTTGTTTTTTCTGCAATGATGTCAAAATGAGGTTTACATGGCTCTCCATTCAGATCTTGGGCTTCCTTTCTGTTCTATGTTTACAATATATGCATTTACAGGGAGAAAAGAGCAAAGCAACTGATGTGTATTTCAGTCTTTGAAGGGTATCACCCACCAGAACTGGGCCCGTAGTACATTGCTTGAAAAAATTAAAAGACCACATTTTAATCAGAGTATAGCATCAAGTCAATTAAACTCATGGGATATTGATCTGGTCAGTTAAGTATCAGAGGGGGTTGTTAAATCAGTTTCAGCTGCTTTGGTGTTAATTAAATTAACAGGTGCACTAGATGGGCAACAATGAGATGACCCCCAAAACAGGAATGGTTTTACAGGTGGAGGCCACTGACATTGTTTTCCCTACTCATCTTTTCTGACTGTTTTACATTTGGCTAGGGTCAATGTCACTACTGGTAGTATGAGGCAATACCTAGACCCTACAGAGGTTGCACAGGCAGTCCAACTGCTCCAGGATGGCACATCAATACGTGCCATTGCCAGAAGGTTTGCTGTGTCTCCCAGCACAGTCTCAAGAGCATAGAGAAGAATCCAGGAGACAGGCAGTTACTCTTGGAGAGCAGGACAGGGCCATGTAGAAGGTCTTTAAGCCATCAGCAGGACCTGTATCTGCTCCTTTGTGCAAGAATGAACAGGATGAGCACTGCCAGAGCCCTACCAAATGATTTCCAGCAGGCCACTGGTGTGAATGTCTCTGACCAAACAGTCAGAAACAGACTTCATGAGGGTTTCCTGAGCCATATCCATGAAGGGACACACAGACCTCTACAAGCTAGACAATGGCACCCTGACTGCTATTAGGTATCAGGAAATCCTTGGACCCATTGTCAGACCCTACGCTGGTGCAGTGGGTCCTGGGATCCCCCTTGTGCACGACAATGCCCAGCCTCATGTGGCGAGAGTATGCAGGTAGTTCCTAGAGGATGAAGGAATTGATACCATTGAATGGCCCCCACCCTTTCCTGACCTAAATCCAATAGAACACCTCTGGGATATCATGTTTTGGTCCATCCCACGACTCCAGGTTGCACCTCAGACTGTCCAGGTGCTCAGTGATGCCCAGGTCCACATCTGGGAGGAAATTCCCAGGACACCATCCGTCTTCTCATTAAGAGCATGTCCCGACGTCAGGCATGCATACAAGCACATGGGGGCCATACAAACTACTGAGTACCATTTTAAGTTGGTGCAATGAAATTTCAGCAAAATGGACTAGCCTGCTGCATAATTTTTTCACTTTGATTTTCGGGGTGTCTTTGAATTCAGTCCTCTGTAGGTTGATAATTTTCATTTCCATCAAATGATGGAGCATCCTTGCGCTCCTAACACATTACCCAGTCCATATCTCTATAGATATCCAGCATGAGATTTTCCCCTATTGAGATCTCGTGTGTTTCCAAAGTGTTCCTTTAATTTTTTTGAGCAGTGTATATAAGCAGATCAAGAATTTTTGTCTTGGGATGCACATTATCTTTTTGTGTTTTTAGCTGGTTTTAGAGTTTGTTGGGAAAATGAATATCAAATCTGGTATTAGGCTGGTATAAATTGACTCCTGGTATTAGGCTGCTTTAAAGTGGACCAAAATGGTATCTGAGCACATAAAGTGAAAATGCTGTTTAATTCATTTTTATTATTTAAATCCAACTCGCCCATCTATCCATGTCATATATGCTTTATTTTGTTGAGAAATCACTTTGAAAAAAAAAAACCCACCTATCATTTCTTGCCATGGCAACCCTGAGTAACGCAAGATGATTCATGTAGCATTTACTTCCTGGAATCCATCTTCCCTTAGATGGTTAGTTTAAGTCTGAGAAAGTATAAACTTTAAAAAGGTGTGGTATTTGAGACTTTTTTTTTTCATTTGATTTATATAGTTAATATAATTTGGTAATTGTTTTTAAATATTGTCTGTTCCCAATGTACAGCCTCGAAAAAGCAGTGCTGACTCTACAATGGATGATGAAGCCATTGCTAGACAGTTACAGCTTGCAGAGGATGAAGAGGTGAGTGAAACCAATTTATTTGATCTAAATCTGTGAATCACATAAATGAAAAGGCTTTGTATTGGTTTTCATTTTAAATAGACAGGGGAGTACCAATGTGTAGATTAGACAACAAGGCTTCAGTGAAATCCTAGGGTTCCTTCAGAGTTTGCCGTGGGTTATTTGAGCTGTGGCTGGCAGACCTCCCCATTTAATGGTGGATACATAGGTTTAGAGACAATACCACTTGCCAGAGCCAGCAACATGGCATCCATTATTTTCTTTTGCTTTTATTAGCTGTCTGTAAGTGTAGCATTCAGACCAGCATTGTAAGGGGGGTATTTTTCCCACTGACCAAAAATTTAGAATGCAGTTCTCTCTCTGCCCCGGATAAGTTTATTTTTTCTTAGCATGGGTAAAACGGTTGTGTTAATCTATAGTTTTATATCTGCAGCTGTCCATATTTGGCACACTGAGCTGTCCGTGAGCGGCTTGATATGCAGCATGTTTGGCCATTAACAATAATGGTTAAATTTGCCATATATATGGAGAGTTGTTGATGCTGACTATCCATATTATTCATTGGACAGTAGATGCAACAATACTATAACCAAATACATGTGCCATTGTGTCCCTAAAACAACTGCTCCATCATTTTAGCAAACTATATCTAGGTGGTAATCCTTTTTGGTTTGAAATTTTTTTTTTTTTGTGCTATTTACTTATATGTGTGTTTTACATATGCTGTAAATGCCAACTGGACCGTTGCATGCTTATAGGTGCGCCAACAGAAACAATACCGTATGCACACACCCACATTTGATTCTCCCTACATAGTTGACCAAGGGATATATACACTATATTGGCACAAGTATCGGGGGACGCTTGCGCACATGAACTTTAATGGCATCCCAGCCTTAGTTTGTAGGGTTCAATATTGAGTTGGCCCACCCTTTGCAGCTATAACAGCTTCAACTCTTCTGGGAAGGCTGTCAACAAGGTTTAGGAGTGTGTCTGTGAAAATGTTTGACCATTCTTCCTGAATCGCATTTGTGAGGTCAGGCACTGATGTTGGATGAGAAGGCCTGGCTCACAGTCTCTGCTCTAATTCATCCCAAAGGTTTCTATCAGGTTGAGGTCAGGACTCTATGCAGGTCAGTCAAGTTCCTCCACCCCAAACTCGCTCATCCATGTCTTTATGAACCTCGCTTTGTACACTGGTGTGCAGTCATGTTGGAACCGGAAGGGGCCATCCCCAAACTGTTCCCACAAAGTTGAGAGCATGGAATTGTCCAAAATGTCTTGGTTATGGTGATGGCCTAAGAGTTCCCTTCACTGGAACTAAGGAGCAAAGCCCATCCTCTGAAAAACAACCCCACACTATAATTCCCCCTCCACCAAACTTTCCACTTGACACAATATAGTCCAAATTTTTTTTTTTTTATATATACACCTGTGGTCATGGAGGTGATTGGAACACTTGAACCCAATGATTTGGAGGGGTGTCCCAATATTTTTGGCAATATAGTGTATTTTAAACCTGTGCTATATAACGAGTTAACACATCCCTGATGGATTGCATAAAGTTTTCCCAACATTAGACTGTCAGACCAGATTATCAACTGCACCAGTCCAAGGTTGCCAAATATGTATACATTTTTGGAGGAACAAGCCCTGCTCTTATTTACTATTTTGGATTTTGGGACACAGTCAACCTAAGTGGAGTTGTTCTCAAATTTAATAACCTTTTTATTACATAAAACAATATACAGCAAATAAGGATTTTTTTTGCTTATTGGACCAGTCATAACTGTCTATTAAACCAAGCCAGCCAAACTTGGGAATTTGGGGTTCCTGGAAAGATAGGCTGTTTCCAGGAATCTAAACACTTGAAATGCAAAATTCGACCACATAGGAGCATGTTCAAAATATATGCTGGTGATGCTGAACATCTCTGACATATAGCAGTAGGGTTTATACCCTTTTTTTTTTTTATCCTTTCAGGGAATAATATAGCTGGTGAAGAAATGTTAAATTTAATGAGCTTATCAGCCATATTGATAGTGTCTTTAAACTATATCAGTTCCAGATCTCCCTTCGCGATCCCTCTAGAAATGGTATTAAGCGTTTTCAGTTATAAAAAATTCTGGAATGTATGCGAGTCTAGATTGAAGATAGGACCATATACAGTCATGGCCGAAATTGTTGGCACCCTTGATATTTTTCCTGAAAATCAAGTATTTCACACACAAAAAAGGTATTGCATTAACACATGTTTTGCTATACACATGTTTATTCCCTTTGTATGTTTTGGAACAAATATAAAACAGGCAGAAAAGCAAATATGACATAATGTCACACAAAACCCCAAAAATGGGCTGGACAAAAGTATTGGCACCCTTAACTTAATATTTGGTTGCACACCCTTTGGAAAACATAACTGAAATCAGTCGCTTCCTATAACCATCAATAAGCTTCTGACACCTCTCACCCGGAATTTTGGACCACTCTTCTTTGCAAACAGCTCCAGGTCTCTCTTTATTGGAAGGACACCTTTTCCCAACAGCAATTTTAAGATCTCTCCACAGGTGTTCAATGGGATTTAGATCTGGGCTCATTGCTGGCCACTTCAGAACTCTCCAGCGCTTCTTTGCCATCCATTTCTGAGTGCTTTTTGACGTATGTTTGGGGTCATTGTCCTGCTGGAAGACCCAGGATCTTGGACGCAAACCCAGCTTTCTGACACTGGGCCCTACAAGTGCGACCCAAAATCCTTTGGTAATCCTCAGATTTCATGATGCCTTGCACACAGTCAAGGCACCCAGTGCCAGAGGCAGCAAAACACCCCCAAAACCCAAACATCATTGAACCTCCACCATATTTTACCGTAGGTACTGTGTTTTGTTCTTTGTAGGCCTCATTCCGTTTTCGGTAAACAGTAGAATGATGTGCTTTACCGAAAAGCTCTATCTTGGTCTCATCTGTCCACAAGACGTTTTCCCAGAAGGCTTTTGGCTTACTCAAGTACATTTTGGCAAACTGTAGTCTTGCTTTTTTATGTCTCTGTGTCAGCAGTGGGGTCCTCCTGGGTCTCCTGCCATAAGCTTTCATTTCATTTAAATGTCGACGGATAGTTCGCGCTGACACTGATGCTCCCTGAGCCTGCAGGACAGCTTGAATGTCTTTGGAACATGTTTGGGGCTGCTTATCCACCATAGGACTATTCTGCGTTGCAATCTTTCATCAATTTTCCTCATCCGTCCACGACCAGGGAGATTAGCTACAGTGCCATGGGTTGCAAACTTCTTGATAATGTTGCGCACTGTGGACAAAGGCAAATCTAGTTCTCTGGAGATGGACTTGTAACCTTGAGATTGTTGATATTTTGCCACAATTTTGGTTCTCAGGTCCTCAGACAGTTCTCGTCTCCTCTTTCTGTTGTCCATGCTTAGTGTGGCACAGACAGACACACAATGCAAAGGTAAGTGAACGTCTCTCCTTTTTATCTGCTTTCAGGTGTGATTTCTATATTGCCCACACCTGTTACTTGCCCCAGGTGAGTTTACAGGAGCATCACATGCTTGTAACATTCTTATTTATCCGCAGTTGTGAAAGGGTGCCAATACTTTTGTCCAGTTTTTGGAGGTTTTTGTGACATTATGTCGAATTTGCTTTCTTTCCTCCCTTTTTTTGTTTTGTCCCAATACACACAAAGGGAATAAACATGTGTATAGCAAAACATGGTTAATGCAATACGTTTCGTGAGAAATACATGATTTCCTGAGAAATATCAAGGGTGCCAACAATTTCGGCCATGACTGTATTTGATGTAGGTTTGTTTGAAGATATTGGCTTTGAAAGTTAATGGCACTTCTACACTATTATCATTGATTAGTCTAAAATGGTCTTTCTGTTCTGCAAATGGCAAACTCATAGGCACATTACCAATAGACTTCCAGGCATTTTCTGAGGTGGCCTCCAACATCAGTTAAAATTTTAAAGAGCACACCAAAATTGCACAGAATAACTTAACTGCAGACCTTGCCCAATGCTTTTACTGACCTAAGTTAACTAACTTAATTAACCAAAACACTGGTGGTCTAGTTTGTCAAGGTGGAGAGCGCCAAGGTATTTATATAGCACCCAGACTTCACATGTATGTTGAGAGGTGATGTATAGTCTATACTGAGGTACAATAGATATCTCTGTGAAAAACATTTTCCCTGCAAAATGCACGTTCACCAACACAGGATGGACTTTATTTATGGACTTGTGCCAGTGTTTTGTACCTGCTCCTTTCCAGTCTGTTTGATCTGTCTTTGTTTCCACCAATGGGAGAGATTTACTAAAACTGGATCGCTCAGAATCTGGTGCAACTGTGCATGGTAGCCAATCAGCTTCTACCTTCAGCTTGTTCATTTAAGCTTTGACAAAACCTGGAAGCTGATTGGTTTCTATGCAGAGCTGCACCAGATTGTGCATGCTCCAGTTTTTGTAAATCTCCCCCAATGTTTTGTAATAGCTTAGTGGCCATGTTTAAGGTTCTATACGATTGGCTCAAAAATGTTTTTTGTACAACCGTGCCAGTGTATGTGTCATCTCATTGTGCATTAAAATATATAGTGTTCATTATACTATATGTTTTGGATTTCCCTTTTGACTTTTATATGAACTGCTAAGTCCTTCTACCTAGAATAAGAAAATAAATGTAATCTGCACATTAGTACAGGAGTAATATTGATTATCATTTTCTGAGAAGAAAGGTTACATTTATCTGTTACACAATGTCCTCTAGTTCTGTGTTCATTGAATGATCCCTTATGGCTGCCATGACTCTGATTACAAAGCACACACCTTCAGGTAATGTCCTTCGATAAGGTGTGATTTGTAACTCAGAATAAAGTTTAATAAAAAAATAAACAGATTAGTGATGTGTTTTTATCCATCAGATAAAAATAGAGAAGCAGAGCCAAGACTAACACGTTTACATCTTGATGGAACTTTGTCGTCTTATTGTTGCCAATGAATTACAAACTGCCCTTTGCTAAGACATAGTTTATCAGCTGTCAAACACTGCAGCGCTGGAAGGATAAGGGTTGCACTATTGCTAAATATTTGGGAATGTTCTGTGTGTTTTTTTTTTTTTTTTTTCTTTTCATCTGTTTCCTCTCTGGTAGTGATTTATGGATCTGTTTTTCCTTCACATAGCAGCAGATTGCTTCCTTTCTTTCCCAGACTTAAGAAAAATCAATTGGTTGCTCTAGGCAACAGTAGTTATTCTTTTAAATTTAATCTTAAAGCCTACTTTCTCTAATTGGTAAAGAAATGGCTAAATATTTGTTTGGGAATGATGGGGCCACTTCTAAAGACTCAAAAGCCTCAACATGTTTGTATAAAACACCAGTATTGTATACCTGCTATCCTGTGGGCCCACTGCTGGTAATACTGCTTCTTTTTCCCCCTCAAAATTATTCCCCCCTCAAAAAAGTATGACAGTGAAATTGTGTCTGAGCAGATCCAGCATGTGTTACACAAACTGTGTTACAGTCTAACTCCTTCTACACTCACCTTTCCAAATATACCTGAGATAGGTTTAAAGTGGTAGTACACTTGCTCTAAAAAAAAATCTCCCTGCAAGTTAGTGTCATAATGTGCTAGTATAATGCATTGCATGGTAGCACATTATGAAAAACGTAGACGAAAGCCCCCCAGTAGCGCGCTGTCGCCGCTGACAGGGCTTCCATCTTCACCCGGTCTTCCTTTCGGGTTTGCGGGCTCTGGCTGCTTGATTGACCAGGCCGCGATGACATCACATGCACGGGAATCTCGGCCATGGCACACAGCTCTGAAGGAAGGGCACTGGTATGCCGTTCCTTCAGAGCACATGTGATGATGATGTCATCGACTGCAGGGGCACTGAATCTCTCCTAAACTGTGCATGTTTAGGAGGTATTCCTTGTACCTACAGGTAAGTTTATAATAAAGCTTACCTTTATGTACAAGTGTCCATTGCGAGTTTACTCCCACTTTAAGGGTTTAAAAGATTTCAAAGCCATATGACCTCCCCCTTACAGGCACAGAGCATACTCACAATGCTTCCACATTTTCCAGCATCAACCATAGACTCACAGACTGGCAGTTAGGCACCAAGTTGGTTGAATACCCTGTACCTGCCATTTTATCTCTTGGACATTTCAACAGTATTTTACTTTTTTTTTTTCTTAATTCTCCTGCCCTTCCCACAGCGTTGTAACTAAAGTTTTACTCTTGCAGTTGGTCTTCCAAGTTCTTTTTTCATTTTAAGTTATGGCCATTTGTAATTTGTGGGCGGAAGTGGCAGTTCCTATAGTGATATTGCATCGCTGCATCCCGCAGAAGATATCCAAATCTAGCATGTAGTTTGGGTTGTCAGCAAATATGCAAATCTGAATAATTTTTATTTTGAGTGCAATTGTGTTTTCAGTCTTTTTTTTTTTTTTTCTATCCCAGCTGGAAAGACAACTCCATGAAGATGAAGAGTTTGCCCGGACGCTGGCAATGATAGATGATCTACCAAAGTCTAAGGTAAGAGGAATGTTCATGTTTTGATTATTTACTTTTTCTGTATGATCTATTTTTTGCATTTTTGGTATTCAGGCCTAGAACTGTAACAGGTCCTGCCGCTTTTCTGTTAAAAAATTAGACAATAAGCTCAATTCATAAAGCCTTAAAACGGAAATGAACTCCATAAGTAAAGAAATTGCAAACAGGACAGCTCTTTATCGCAGAAGAGTCCTTCAGTGTCTCTTCTGCAGTAAAATACACTTACCTGCGCATTTGCAATCCTCCCCAGAGTTTCCAGCACAGCATCAGTGTGGCAGGATAAATGACTCAAATGCATGCGCTGGAGTGATGTCATCCCATGCCAGCCAATCAGGCCGAAAAGTGGCACCCAGAGGCTGGAGAAAAGGTGCAGGCGAAGGACCTCTCTGTCCGGTATTAGACCATTGGAGCAGAGGTAAGTATTTGTGCCTTTTTAGTTCTGCTATAACACAAGGTCAAATATCTTAATTGAAGCTATGTGACTGCTCATTGGACTCCACTGAAAACAGCTTTTTTTTTTTTTTTTTTTTTTTTTTTGGTGTGTTAGCTTTGAATTTGGGATGAGAAGTCAACGGTTTTGATTATTTTCTTTTTTTTTTTTTTTTTTTTTTTTTTTATCCTTGGGATATTTTGAGAGGTTTTGGTTAGCTATTTTAAAAAGTGCTTGTTAATCCAGACAGATATAATATTCTTTTTCCTAGTAGCCATATACCTGTGCATACACTTTACTTAGTAACATGCTTGTTTAAACTATACAGGAACTTAAAGTCAGCCCAAAGAAGCAGAGCTCAGCAACTGCTGGAATAAGCCCAGTAAAGGGCGAAAAAAGGATTTCTCCAGGTAATGGACATGGCATAAAATATAGAATGTTAATTGAAAGTAAAAATGAAAGGAATGTTCTTACAATGGTTTAAAGGTCTATTTTATTTTTTTTATTATCTGTGTTTTTAACATTGCTAATGAAAGTAAAAAGTTAAACTTATATCTGTTGAGAAGATACACTATATTGCCTAAAGTATTAGGACACCCCTCCAAATCACTGGATTCTGGTGTTCCTGTTGCCTCCATGGCCACAGGTGTATAAAATCAAGCACCTAGACATGCAGACTGCTTCTACAAACATTTGTGACAGAATGGGTCACTCTCAGGAGCTTAGTGAATTCAAGTGTGGTACCATGATAGGTTGCCATCTGTGCAATAATTTCATCCTTAAAATCGCCTTGCTACTAAATATTCCTCAGTCAACTGTTAGTGGTATTATAACGTAGTGGAAGCAACTAAGAACAGCAACTCAGCCATGAAGTGGTAGGCCATGTAAAATGAGAGAGAGGGGTCAGCACATGCTGAAGTGCATAGTGTGCAGAAGTCGCCAACTGCCTGCAGAGTCAATAACTAAAGACCTCCAAACTTCGTGTGGCCTTCAGATGGGTACAACAACAGTGCGTAGAGAGCTTCATGGAATTGGTTTCCATGGGCGAGCAGCTACATCCAAGCCTTACATCACCAAGTGCAATACAAAGTGTCAGATGCAATAGTGTAGAGCATGCCGCCACTGGACTCTAGAGCAGTGGAGACGTGTTCTCTGGAGTACTAAATCATCCTTCTCTGTCTAGCAATATGATGGACATGTCTGGGTTTGGCAGTTGCCAGGAGGATGGTACTTGCCTGACTGCATCATGCCAAGTGTAAAGTTTGGTGGAGGGGGGATTATGGTGTGGGATTCTTTTTTAGTAGTTGGGCTTGGCTCCTTAGTTCCACTGAAGGGAACTTTTTAGGCGTCAGCATATCAAGACATTTTGGACAATTTCATGGTCCCTACTTTGTGGGAATAGTTTGAGGATGGCCCCTTCCTGTTCCAACATGACTGCGCACCAGTGCACAAAGCAAGGCCCATAAAGACATGGATGAGCGAGTTTGGGGTGGAGGAACTTGACTGGCCTGCACAGAGTCCTGACCTCAACCTGATAGAACACTTTTGGGATGAATTAGTGCGAAGACTGCGAGCCAGGCCTTCTCGTCCAACATCAGTGCCTGAACTCAAAAATGTGCTTCTGGCAGAATGGTCAAACATTTCCATAGACACACTACTAAACCTTGTGGACAGTCTTCTCAGAAGAGTTGAAGCTGTTATAGTTGCAAAATGTGGGCCAACTCAATATTGAACCCTACGGACTGACTGGGATGCCATTAAAGTTCATGTGCATGTAAAGGCAGGCGTCCCAATATATTTGGCAATATGGTGTATGTAAGCCAGAGATTTGGCCTCGTTTTTTTTTTTGTGTTTTCTAGTGCCTAGGGTATAGTGTTACAGAGGTCACATCTTTGAGTTGGGCCCATTTCCTTGGCACTGAAAGGTCCTTCAGTCAGCTAAGGCTGGCCATATACGAGTCTTTTACCAAAAAAAAAAAATGTCTCTTACCCTATCCACACACTCAGTGTGGGTGAGGGAATGCTGCCCACTGTGTTATTGTTATTCTGACTGCAGGTAGACTTCCCTACTGTCAGAATACAGTCATCAACACACCCAGCTATAGCTGGCAGTGGTGATCTACAGAAATATTTCCAACAGGCTGATCAATCAATAGACTGCTGAACTGGCCAAAATTTAATCCATCCATGGCTGGCTTTATAGTGTTATTTGTATTTTATAACTTTTAATATGATGTTGATACTGCCAATTTCACAAGGACTCACTGTTTTAAGACTAATTCATAATTGATTTGATTGATATCTGGGAATTTGCAGGTTATGCCAGTGAAGGGTTTTAGAGTGTCACAATGACCTCTGATTCAGCAGTGTGTGCCATCCAGTTTTGAGGTCTAGGTAAAATTAGGTGGCTTGCAGACTGTAAGGGAAGCTATACTACCCCATTAGGTAGACCCCTAATTTGTGCAGATAACCCCACCTGCTGTTTGTAGGTTTAATTATCTTTTATTCTAAGCGGAATATATGAGATCATTGTGTCAGTGAAATTCCTTCTCTATTGTGGTGTTCTGTACCACAGATTGTACGCGCCATGCTTTTACAAGAAAATGATGATGTGTGACTTTGTATGCTCTGACTGCACTGCATGTATATTTGCTGCAATATACTGTCAATTATGATCTCTTTATTAATAAGTTTGGATTAAAAAAAAAAAATTAGGTAACTTATCCAATAATCTCTAAATGCTCTTTTATAGGCAGAATTTCTAGTCCATCAGAGGAATCTTCTGTCAAAAAGGAGAAGGGTATTAAAGAAGGAAATAAGAATTCCTCCCATGCACTGTATGAACCATCCTTTTCACACAAAAGCAAAGCCTCTTCAGACAAGACTTCTCCAGTGAAAACCAGCTCCAAGCTGGCTCTGATGAAACAAAAAGATGACACACAGAAAAAAGAGAAGGAAATATCCAGCCCTGTTAGTAAATCCAAGGTTATTACTCCAAAGAAACAGCAGACTAAAACCAAGGAGATCACTCCAAAGAAAGAACAGCCTAAAGCTGCTGTGGTTATCTCACCAAAGAAGGAGTTGACCACACCAGTAAAATCATCTCCGTATTCCGAGGTAAGCATGCTGGCCTTCTGTTCATCTCATCATAGACAAAGCAAACCTGCCAAGATTCTCATCACATCCCAGGAGAAATTAGGATTTACCTTAACTTCTTCCCTCCCAGCCAATAGCAGATTGACAGCTGCTGGGTAGACCTTTCGTTGCTCCAGGTGGACGTCCTCTCGGTCTCGGTTCGCAGCACATCAATCGGTGGTGAACCGTGTCCCCACACAGTGCATCACTAATCAGGGTAAAGGGCCAATGACATTGGCTCTTTACCACGTGATTGGCTGTGCCCAATCACAACTGTAGACCGGTAACTCGCTGTTACCTGCTTGTTCTCCTCACACACCGATCCTGTGTGAGAAGAATCCTTGAACAATGTGTTCGTCTTAACCCTTTGTTTACGGTGCCCTGATTGCCCTAGGATTAAAGACTACCTGTCACCGCAGCCATCAGTGTACCTGTCCAGGTGTCATCAGAGCTGCCATGTCCAAAAACATTTTATACTAGTGAGAAGGCATTTCAAATCCTCAGTATGATGGATGAGAGCAGCGGAGAACTCTTGACGTCCAATTCAGAGGACAAACCCATTGAAAGTAGTGGATCAGCGACTGAATTGGAAGAGGAAAGGGTCCCTCCTAAAAGATTAAGACACTCTGAAGATCAGGCACTTTACACCCCAATGGTGGTAGGTAGTCAAGAAATTAGATGTGTAATTTATGCCCCTAGAATGCCTGGAGGTGCTCCTTGAATGTTGGGCCTCTCTGTGGCTAGGCTGTGAAAAAGTCTCACGTTGTATCTCCTCACTCAGAACTAGTAGAAAGTGTGTTGGGGGTGTAATTGCAAGTATACTTAAGCCATGTGTGAGAAATAACTTGTTAATTTTGACAATTTTTGTGAAAAATAATTTTTATTTTCCAAAGAATTGTGGGAAAAAAATACAACTTCAAAACACTCACCATGCCTCTTACTAAATACCTTGGACTGTCTGCTTTCCAAAAAGGGGTCATTTGGGGGGAATTTTGTACTGTCCTGGCAACATGTTACAGTAGAACCTTAAAAATGTGTGGGTTTGTTTTTCAAAATTTTCAATCTATTTTTTACCTTATATCGCAAGAAATGAAAAACCCAGTGGGGATTAAATACCACCAAAAGAAATCTCTATCTTTCTCAAAAAAATTGTTAAAAATTTTGTTTGTGTACAGTGTTGCATGACTGAGCAATTGTCAAAGTATGAGAGCACTGAAAGTTGAAAATTGGCTCAGGCAGGAAGGGGGTAAAAGTGCCCTGTATTGAAGCGGTTAATCTAACAAACCCCACAGTCAACAGAATCTGGTATTCTTGGCAAGTGGCATAATGGAAAATTTATAAATAAAACCCCTCCCTTATTCTCTCAAAAATAAGAGTTTTTTTTTCCTTGTATTTCTACTTTCAGAATTCAATCAGAGATATGTTATATTTAGTTTGATATGGTGTATACATATAAGAATCTAACAATGATTATCTGTAACAGACCAGTCCTGAAGATTCTGAAAAGAAACGGGGTAACTATATGGCATATAGAAATTATCTCAATCGAGAAGGTCCTAAAGCTTTGGGATCCAAAGATATTCCTCAGGTAAGGAGTTATCATGAAAATATGTGCTCTTCTAAATCAGCATAGCTTGGGTAAATTTTTTTTTTTAAATCAGATGTTTATTATTTGGTTTTTGAACATTTTAGGTTTTTTTAACAAACAGACGCACAACTTGTGCACAACACACTACAAAAAAAAAATCAAGGACACTGGTCATACAGTGGTAAAACCGCAATCCATAAATAGCACACATTCAATAGAGTGAAGAAAAAAAGAGTAATTTTGTATACACCGTATGAACATATAACCTACAACAATAAAACGATTAAACCAGCACAAGTTGACCCAAGTCTGTTACTCCTTCCTATATTATCTAGCCGCACGTGTCTTTCCGCAAACTTGTAAATGTCAGCTGTTATACCATACAACTAATAGAGAGAAATCTATTTGCTATCATATGGAGCGGAGCCAAACCGGTGTTGCTAGCCAGGGACCCCATATAATTTCACATTTTCTAATACAGTTTGTTGGAATATTAATTTTTCTCTGGAGATTACATTGTTAACCTGAGTTTTTCACTCTTATGGATGGAAGGCTGGGTGATATCCATTTATGTGCTATATAGAGTAAACTGGTGACAGAAGGCATCAAGTGGGTACAATAGACTCATCAAGCATATTAAGAAGACATATTTTAGGTTCTGTGGACAAGGCAACTTGATAAATGGAGGATATGAGAGAGACAATATCTTGCCAATATCTATTAAGTTTTGTTCATCTCCATAGCATATGAATAAGATCTGCCGGACCTATGTCACATCTAGGACACAAATTTGATTCCATCTATACAATTTAACCAGAGAGCTTGGTTAAATTTAAATGTTGAAGCTGATGATCTGTCATGGTTGTACCCTGTATAAAAAGTTTTTGTATGTTTTTAAAGGTTAATTTATAGATGGTGAAAACATATAAAAGTTGAGTATATAAAGAATAAAGTCATCGATGCTAACTGACCATTATATAAATAATAAAATAAGGGTGTAGCGCTAAAATGGATATAAATAAATCTATAAATAACTACTATATAATTTGCCAGCACAGAACAACCTGTGTGGATATAATCAATGAATGTCCGCTGATAAAGTTCAAATATAAATAGATAAACCCAGGATGTAAAAAGGAAAATCAGCAGCAGATAGACTTGTGACTCCAACCAATAGTTAAAGTGCACACTCACTGGAAGCGCATGGGTAATGCGCATGTAATATAAACCCTCAAGGTATCTGTAGATGGACAGGATAATCAGGTGAACTTTTCCTCTATGGTGTAGTCATCAAGTCGTAGGGAATACCAAAGAAATCTGCTGGAAACAGAGGTCCCCTTAAGGATGGGTTTAGGTGCTCAGTCTGAGTACAGGGCTCCTTTTCCTCTGGTCACACTTGTATCTCTGGGGTAACCTGCAGGCCTAATAGCTCCATAAAGGAGCCACAAAACAGGTGCCCATAGTGTAGTATGTTCAGTAAACTTTATTGAAATGACAATAGGTAAGGCAGGGTATAGTAACATCCATATAACAGGAATTTGAGTCACTAACCCTAAGTTAAGATGGCCGCCGGGCTTCCTCCTAGCTTCGGCGGCAGTGATGTCACGTGCTCTCTAGTTCCTCCTGAGGCCTTTTGTGCAATGGCACTTCTTCAGAGGGTTCTCCCTGTGAAGAAGTGCCATTGCACGAAAGGCCTCAGGAGGAACCAGACAGCATGTGACATCACTGCCGCCGGAGCTAGGGAAGCCCAGCGGCCATCTTAACTTGGGGTTAGTGACTCAAATTCCTGTCATATGGATGTTACTATACCCTGCCTTACCTATTGTCATTTCAGTAAAGTTTCCTGAACATACTACATTATGGGCACCTGTTTTGTGGCTCCTTTAAGGAGCTATTAAGCCTGCAGGTTACCCCAGAGATACAAGTGTGACCAGAGGAAAAGGAGCCCTGTACTCAGGCTGAGCACCTAAATCCATCCTTAAGGGGACCTCTGGATCCAGCAGATTTCTTTGGTATTCCCTACAACTTGACTACACCCTAGAGGAAAAGTTCACCTGATTATCCTGTCCATCTACAGATACCTTGAGGGTTTATATTACATGCGCATTACCCATGCGTTTCCGGTGAGTGCGCACTTTAACTATTGGTTGGAGTCACAAGTCTATATGCAGCTGATTTTTCCTTTTTACATCCTGGGTTTATCTATTTATTTATTTATATTTGAACTTTATCAGCGGACATTCATTGATTATATGCACACAGGTTGTTTTGTGCTGGCAAATTATATAGTAGTTATTTATATTTTTATTTATATCCATTTTAGCGCTACACCCTTATTTTATTATCTACATTGAAGGTTTTTTTATTGGTACCTTTTTGGTGTTTTAGCAGCTGTTTTATAGGATAGCTCACTACCTCTTATATTTTATAAACTGACCATTATAGTTTCCTTTTTGGCAAAAACATTCACTTCTTGGTGATGTGCCTAGACTTGGTTCCTTTTACAGATATTAGTAGGTAAAGCCAGTATTGATTAACCAGATATTCAGTGGTCGTCTGCTAATGGTGGCCCGTGGGAAACACACTACACATAGCTGTTCACATTTACTTAACATTTTGGTTCAGTTGCCTATATGAATATTTGATGAGTTTTTGGGTTATTCGCTGTGTAGAATCAGTACTTATTCAACACACTCCACAGTGAGAAATCTGATTATATTCTCTTTATATGTTGATAGGGTGCAGATAACTGCATGGAGGGGTTGACCTTTGTCATAACTGGAGTCCTAGAATCCATCGAGCGAGATGAAGCCAAGTGTTTAGTTGAACGATATGGTGGAAAGGTAACAGGAAATGTCAGCAAAAAGACCAATTACCTTATCATGGGCCGTGACGCAGGAGAGTCCAAACGTGAGAAGGTATAGTTCTGTATTTTGTATCAATAGAATAGAGTTTATTGAAGCCACAAGTAGCATATGAAAGACATTCTTTTAACATATTTATATGACTTGTTAACAAGATCATAGCTGCAGCTGCATCTCTGTATTTGCAAGTCTGATGCTGTAGGCCTTTTTCATATGTAGCTGGACAAATGCAATCCGTATAATTTGGTTTGTTTTTTTTTTTTTTTTTTTTTTTTTTTTTATGTAAGTGGGTATTCTCTCAATTAGTTCAAATGGGTAGCCAGCAAACACTTAGAGATTATTGCAAGGAATAGCAGACCAAGAATAGTAATTTTCTGTAACCTCTTCGAGGAGTATATTAAAGTGCTAGAGATTGTGTGCTCAAGTCTGTTTTTCACCGTAGTATCACACTGCAAGGGTTAATTGCTGGTTTTCTCTAGGGGAGAGGAGAAACAGTGTTCCTTACCTGATCCTCTGCTGCCCCGGAAGGCCTCACTCCCCCACAATCCAGCAGTGGACTGTCCCTCTGCATCTTCACGCCCAGAGCAGGGCAATGGACCCTGCTCTTTTCTTGATGATATCAAGACTCTCGACTGGTGGAGCGTGAGAGTGCACAGACTGCGGGGATGGTCTTGGTGTGGGGAGAAGCAGAGGCTTAGGTAAGTAAATCCTTTTTTTTCCCCCGTTTCCCTAAGCAAAAACAAGCGATTAAACCTTGTAGTGTGCGCACAGCCTCACTGCAAGGGATAGTTTTTTTTTTTTTTTTTAGATGCCCAGAGTTGGGATTTAAAGCATCCTCTGCTTTAAAACTTGGCACCCACCCCTAAAACAAACCCCAAGTGAGAGATGTGAAGGCTGTGTTCTTATAAACCATATAAATGCTGCGCTACATTCAAACTTATTAAGTGAATGTGGAATCCAATGACACAAATCTAATATTGTGACAATAATAATGAAATAAATAATACGTGCTTACTGATAACAAAATTATCAAATAAAACACCCAAAAAGATAAAAAAAACACAAACTTAAATCTATACGCATGTGCATGTGCATGAAAATACACATACATATGATTACATCACACGTGCAAATGTGAAGTGAAATAATGGTTACTTAATAAACGCAAACAAAAAGTCCAATATAAAAATGTTGAAGGTGAACAAAACTGTAAACGGTGTTTCCAATAATACTGTAAAGTGACCACAAGTGAAAACAAATCGTGCAGGTATCTGGGTGTAGATAGAGCTTGTGAATCCAACCACCTTCTGGATTAGCCTCTCACCTCATCACTTCGACCCTTGCGGATCAAAGAGCAATAATGGATCCCTCTCACAGATCCTCCAGGCACCACAGCACTCCAAAAACGCTTTTCAGGATTTAATATTCCCACTCAAGCTCTTCTCCAGGTATAGGTGAAATATCAATCTGTTCAGAGTGCTTATAGGAGTAGAAGGAGATGAGGACACTCCACAGATGATAAGTATGAAAACCAAAACTATGGCCAATCACAGCCATAGTTTTGGTTTTCATACTTATCATCTGTGGAGTGTCCTCATCTCCTTCTACTCCTATAAGCACTCTGAACAGATTGATATTTCACCTATACCTGGAGAAGAGCTTGAGTGGGAATATTAAATCCTGAAAAGCGTTTTTGGAGTGCTGTGGTGCCTGGAGGATCTGTGAGAGGGATCCATTATTGCTCTTTGATCCGCAAGGGTCGAAGTGATGAGGTGAGAGGCTAATCCAGAAGGTGGTTGGATTCACAAGCTCTATCTACACCCAGATACCTGCACGATTTGTTTTCACTTGTGGTCACTTTACAGTATTATTGGAAACACCGTTTACAGTTTTGTTCACCTTCAACATTTTTATATTGGACTTTTTGTTTGCGTTTATTAAGTAACCATTATTTCACTTCACATTTGCACGTGTGATGTAATAATATGTATGTGTATTTTCATGCACATGCACATGCGTATAGATTTAAGTTTGTGTTTTTTTTCATCTTTTTGGGTGTTTTATTTGATAATTTTGTTATCAGTAAGCACGTATTATTTATTTCATTATTATTGTCACAATATTAGATTTGTGTCA